AATACTATTTTAAACATTAAAATTTGAAAAAAATGGAGATCAAACAAGACATTAAAAAATACCCATTAAAATTAGGAATCATTTGAAAAATCATATAAAAATAAATTTGAAAATAAATAATATTGTATAATATTAAAAAGTTATATAATGTCACTTTTTTTTCTAAAAATTGTCACAATGTCATTTTTGAAAGCTAAGTGTCACTTTTTTTAATTAAAAATGATTTTATTAAAATGTTATGTTTGTTAATAAAAAAAGTGATAGCAATCAAGAAATTGATAGAAAAATTTGACAAAGACTAAAAAATATGACAAATATTTTTTTAAAAAAAGGTAACAAATACAAAAAATGTTACTGTAATTTAAAAAAGTAACAAATTCAAAAAAGTGACACAAATTAAAATATTACATATATTTAAAAAGTGATAGAATAAAAAATGACACACTCAAAGTGACAAAACTCAAAAAAGTGAAAAATATTTTAAAAAGTGAGACAAATTCAAAAAATGTGACAAAAAAAAGTGACGAAATTCAAAAAAATAACAAACATTGAAATAAGCGACAAAAATTAAAAAAAAAAAAAAAGCAACTAAAATAGTATGATGGTGATTTTCTCGTTGACAAAAATACATATATTAGTCAGTTTTTGTGCAAGATAAGAAATCGTCCTCATATAAAACAATTTTCACTTTTCACGCATCCTGCTTGTCGTTACACTAGTTCAATTTTGAGGTATAGCATGCTAAAATTCTGCTCTCAAGGGATATTTATTTTTGACATTATAATAACTGTTCAACTCATTCAATAGTGAGCTGTTGGCACCAATTTCACCATATGCTAACTTGCAGAGCAAATGAAGGCTCCATAGAGTTGATTGACCTTTTTTTTTTTTTTTCAAAGTCATAAGCCTTAAAGCAAGCCAGTATCATCTGCAATCAGAGATACAATACCAAACACAGACATCAAGTATTAATTATAAGGTAGATGCAGTAAAAAAGTAGTCCTTAAAAAGGCAACACAACCGATTTCAAGTGCAGCGACTCCGTCAACCACCCTGATAATGTCATCACCGCCTACAGCTACACCAACTTCCAACCCAGCCAATCAACCACCTCAATTCCCATCACCATAACCTACGCCAAATCCAGTAAAAAGTCTATCCCAGCCATCAGCATTGCCATATCTAACTAGCACTTTCATCGGCTGTACCTCCACCACCAGTCGTTTCAATGCCAACATTTCAACTGACTATACTTCCACCACAGGCATCCTCTGCACTTGTCCAATGGCCACCGCCAACACCAGCCCCATAAATAAAAGCACTCGTTCTCGCACCCACAATACCCCCACCAATTCCACCATCTATGGCACCATCAGTGCCAATACCGGCACCACCAATGCCAATACCAGCACCACCACTACCGATCACATCATCAGCCCTAGCACCAGATTTGGTTCTCTCACCTGCACCAATACCTAGAATGCACAAGAAAATGAAGCACAAGCA